GAAATTATTTTGCTTTATTTTCATAGTACTTAATATCATTGGAAGAAATATAAAATAAAAATATTGATGCTTTAAATACTACAGTGGTGGCTCTCCGTAGTAAAGGTATCATATGTACTTTGGATGGCTTTTTCCTAGCATTTAAACCATTAACGATTAGCCATTTCTACTTTGGATTGGCATTGTTAAAAGTATTAAAGGATTGGTTGTAACTAATTTTCAAACTAGCCAGCATTATAAATAGCCTCCATTCTACCTGCCACTAACAGTAACATGAATTGTGTTTATTTCAGCCCAATTAAATATCATTCCCAGCTTGATCATATATGTTAGTTTTTCTTATAAAAACATCTCTGAGGAAAGGAATGCCATTACTATGATACAAAAAAAAAATTTTCTCGGAAAGAATAATGTTCTTGCTCTAGTTATTAAAACACCTAAGGTGATATGACTTGAGAAGGTTTGAATGGATAGTATTATTTATGCCTCTTCGGCCATCAAAAGATCCACTGTAATATATCAAACATCCAGAGAGGTATAAAAGATACCATAAAGAATTTTGAATTATGAAAAAAAATACAATGACATACAGTATAGGCCTGATATCTCTTAACAAAATAAGAAAGAAGAAAAAATGAAATAGAACCAATAAATTTCACAATGCAAAATTCATTATTTTAAATACTGGTAATAATACGTGTATGAAATAAACAATCTAATGATCATTTTAGTAATTTTTACTGTAGTATAAAGAATGAATGACTTGCAACCCATAAAATAAAATTTGTATAAATACAGGTCTCCCTGTACTTAAAGACCTCTCCAATAAAGACCACTTTTCTGTGGTTCAAAATTCAAAAATGCTTTTTATCTTCATCCTTCTAATTTGAAACCGAAGCTGCTAAAGTCCATGAAAACACCGGTCTCTTATGGTCTTGAATTGTGTGTATATATTGATATATATTACATTTCCAGTGTGAAAAGTTGATTAATAACTAAATATTTTTATTTAATATAATTGTCATAGGATAAATCCATAGAATTACAGGAATGTATATTGTTATTTCCTAAAATAGCTCCATATTCAGCCTATGAAAGAATAATCTTAATAAAATTAATGTCATGTTTCTTATATGTTAATAAAATAAGCAGCTCTTTAACCTAAATAAGACAGTTCCAAATTGCTTAGCAACAGTTAAAACAACAAGAATCATATTAGCAAGACCTGTTGGACCTGACAATCTTACACAGGGAGCCTGTAAGCAGTTAAACATTTTTGACTTCAAAAGAATCTAGGCCTATTTGTTATATCCTAAATGTTCAATGTTATATTCAATATTTTGTAGATTTATGTAAAGACTTTATGTCTGAATAAATAAATGAAATATGAGCCTAACGGAGAAACATGTCTACATGTAAATCAAAACACTTTTCCTTCTTGAATTTATTATTTTTCTTTGTGTTGCCGAATTCAATAAGATAATAGCAAAATCTGGAACCTATTGCACAGCATGGCTAGATTTAGCACTAGCCAAGTTTACAATGAAATTAATGCTTCAATTTATCCAAACTAGAGTAACTTCCCTTTCCATCCATGGGCATAGGTTTGGTGAGGGGATGTGAAGGTTGCAGATGCACCCACCATGCAGTAAATTACTTCTACTAAGTGAGTTAAAATACTAAATATGACCATTAAGTTTTCATTGGAATAGGGATTTAATTTTGCTTTCTCAATTTTCACACCCCCAGTTTAACATTTTCAAATTTTTGCACACCCCCTCTTCCCCAAGACTGAAACCAACCTACTTCCCTGTTACCCAGTGGTCTAGAAAGCACAAGCCTTTAGAATAGTGCCTCCAGTTGTTGAATACACGATTAGATTATACAAGATCATTCATCAGATTTCCTCAGAGATGCTGCATTAATGTATCACATTTGCTTTTTCAACAACTTTTTTTTTTCTGTGTTTAAATCATGACAACGTTTAAGAAAATATAGTGGCCATTAAAATCTCTAGTTATATAGCCCAGTGGACAACTGGAATAATTTGCAAATATAGTTACAGTAAAGCACAGACCCAGGGTCTATGATTAAGGTATTATGAATAGTATAGTATAGGGTAAAGTTGCAGTGGTGGATCTAGGATTTAGCAATGGGGTGGGATGCAAGGGGGGAGTCCCTTCCATTTGAGTTTTTCTTTGGAATTAGTAGATGGCTAGATGCTCTTAGATGACATCTGAAAAGAAGTTAAGCTTAAAATAGAAAGTGTATGTTTTCCCTACTTAGCACGTAACATGTATATACACGAGAAGCACACACACACACAAGACAAGTTTTTTACGGTAACCGAATGTGGGGTGGGGGGGTGGCTAGCCACCTTATTCACCCCCACCCCCTAGATTTGCCACTGAGTTGAACGTGTGGCATTTCTTTATGACATTTCTGATCTACATTATAAATTGTATGGATTTAAAATGTTTGAATATGTGGAGCTGTGAATCAGATGTCCGCTTTATGTAGTGGGTACCCATTGCAGCTACAGTATTATTAATATACCAATGTTAAGTAAAAGAAAAAATTTGATGGATATTTATATTTGCATTCATAAAATGAACATATTCCTTCTATGAAATTGACATTATAACCACCTGTTAAAAAACCGCTTGCTACGCAGACTGATTTTGATCTTTCAACTTTGATATTTCACAACAAAAAGGTTAAATGTACTTATCAGTGAGCTATTCCTAAATTGATGCTTCTATTTAAAGTCAATCAAGCAATTAGAATTGCTATTATTTTTTTAGCACCATTATCTTTGGAAAAAATAAACAATGCAGCAGTTTTGTTTGTGCAAATCCAATTATTGGACGTTATTATTATGACCTGTGCTCAACTCAGTAATCATATTCACGGTAAATTAGGTTGGAGTAGAACAGCATTCCATACCTTAGTATCTGCATGGAGGAAGAAACATCTGTATCTATGCATTTAAAAACCTGTTATTTACAGTATATTTTATCATTGACACCTGTAACGCCACCACTAGGATTCTTAATCTTGTGTACTGTATATGTGGCAAAGACAAGCCAAACTAGTCACTCGTTGCAATTCGTGTTTCAGAGATAATGGCCAAAACATGCTGGAATGTCAAAATTTTTGAAATCTATTTAATTGGACTAAACTAACCTTTATATATCTATACATCATACCATGCTGTTACTTTCCTCATTTCTAATGTTAAAACAACAAGTTTTAACGATTTGGTGATAGTCTATGCCTGAGAAATGCCTGAAATCATAAACTTTGAAGGCTGATTTCTCAAATATTGTTCTTTAAATAGCTCTATGTTTGAATGTTTGTGACGTCATAAGGAAATGTCAGATTTTACCATTTTACAGCTCTCGTTTTACTGTTTAATAATTACTAAAAATCATATTACTAATAATAAATTTAAAGATTTCAATAAGCAAAACCTCTGCAAATCTATTAAAAATGAATTGTTTTATATGCTATTCATTGCAATTGATAAATTATTTGATCCAGGTTTTAATCGATCAGTTCTTTTGTGAATACTTGGATAAACCGACAAATTTTCTATATTCTCAAGTGAGAACACTCTCTACAAAATGGAACAGTCTGCTTTAAACTTGAAGATTTTTCGGGGGGATTTTTTCAGATATTAACTTGGAGAGTACTGAACATATTTGTAATTGCAGTATTATGATCAAACTTAATGTAGTAAAACAGTATCAATATTAAATATGATCATAGTTTCAAATTTTGTTGAAGCATAGTATTGAGGCCGTTAATATTGAATATGATTAAACTCTTAAAAAGAACATTGTAGCCAAGTATTACAAGTAATTCACATAGCTTCACACATTCACGATTATGACGGTGCTCAGTAAAAGCACTGTTAGTATCCACTTTACGAAGGTGTTATAAATATCACGTTTCACATGTTATATAAATATCTTTCCGACTAAATAGCTGATAACGTTTTTGCGAGTCTATGGGGATAGCGTAAATAAGTAAACACTCAATGTTGTAGTTTGGATTCAATAACAACATCGGGATACCAATTATATTTTGGTCTCTTTGTCTGTTTGTAAAAGGTGTGATTATCAAATCTGTTTTGTTTGAATGTTGATATAGTAAATCACATTCTATTTTTTGCTTATATAGAAAGGGTGTGTGATTGTCAAACCTGTGTTTTGTTTGAATGTTTATACAACCTAAATCACATAGTAATGTTTATAGAGGGAGTGTTTGAGGTGATCCAAATGACTATAGCAAATTCTTTGCAGTAAATTAGAACATGGACTTTGCTGATATTCTATATGCAGTAACTAATAATATTAGAACTAAAGCTCTGTTCAGATTATCAAATTCTCCCATATATAGTCATGATGTGCCTATATATGGTCATGGAGTCGTGTGATGTCATGACCATATTTAGGCATTTCACATGTTTTTGTCAAATAAGATTAGATAGTTTGGACAGGTCTTAACAGCACTTGCTGTCATACACCTTGGTTCATGTCTTATGACTTTCCTCTGAGACAGTGGCTAATAATAATAACAAAAGCTAAATTTAATTTAAACAAAAACTTGTATTTTAATAAATACACATATTTTTTTGTTTATAATTGTATAATTTATTTAGTGCAATAATGTGTTCATGTTAACTCAGTATGTATATTTATTTTGTATCGTCGTACTTTAAAGAAGTAAATGTTGACAATAAAAATGAAAAAACAAAATTAACTGAAGACATTAATTAAGATTGTCTCGAAGTTCCGTTTTTTTCTTGTGAACTTTAGTCATTTTTTTATATTTTTAAAATTTAATAGACAGTTTAATTTTAGTATTTTGATTAATTTACACTACATAACTAAAATATAAACATCAAAGAGAATTTCTATTTCACATTAATGCATAAAGATTTTTATATTATAAATTATAATTAATTTTTTTTTTTTTTTTTTTTTTGCAGTATGAATTCAAGGCTAAAGCCATCAAAAAGAAGAAAGTAAACATATGCATCTCAGTGGATGGGATCAAAGTTTCCCTACGGAAAAAGAAAAAGGTAAAGAGACTGCAATATGCGGAAGTGACATCCTCATACCTTAGCATACAGTAGTACCTTTATGTGGTGATAATGTAAACACATAGGTTGGAATGATGTTGAGTGGAAGTGGTTGTGATCTGGGCTTTCAACCTTGAACTTTTGGCTTGAATCACTTGCTGTGAATTTCACTTGTGTCTTCGAGTAAGGGTACTTTATAGTTGAATATTAAAAAATATGCCATAAAAACAATAAAACAAATAAAATAAACAAAAATAATAAAACTGTTAGTTAAATTGATTGATGGAATGCTTTAAGTATTCATGTAAAAATGTCAAGAACGAGATATATCATAACACCAGGTCATATCTTTTTACATCAACCACTAATCCAACACAAGCCATTTGAGAATTTTATATATTGGAAAAAGGGGAAAAAATATTGTGACCATGTAGGCTATGAAACTAATATCATAATGAGTTTATTTGGTGTTTTTATTGTTAGAAAATCAATAATATAGTTACCCTCTTTAATTGACAGGCAAATATAGTATTTATATAAGTGCCTTGCAACTATCTATTGATATGCATAGCCATGCTATATAATATATTTTTATATCGGTCCTTGATTGAAGATTTACCGATTTGATCACACTTTAAAAATAATATTGTATTCAAATTTTGTAATATTCTATAAAACTGTTCAGTAATACTGTAGACTACACATGCTTATGAGCCAGAAATGCAGGTGTTCCAATTATAGATACATTAATAACTGACAGAAGTTAGGTAGAAATATTTTTAAAAGTAAAAACAACAATAAAAGTAAAAGAAAATGTGGAAATGGCTGCCCGGGGGTTAAGGGGGTTATGACGAACCACCCAAAAGCTGAAGAAGGTCTGCACTTTAAAATGAAAAATTGATATTTGTAGATATATTTACAATGTTCTCCAGAGTATCGTAGATAAGGGTCCACTTTACACCGAAACGAACCTCCCACAAATTAAGACACGCTACGGGCATATATATATACTTCCTTTATTCGGCTCTTTTAAGGGGAAACTCTTTTGTCTGTGTTTCCCCTTAACGTCGTTTAAGTTTCCCCTTAGCAACACTACTTTCGCCTTAAGGTACTGTTTTTAACCCTCTTAATTTTTAAGGTTCCCCCTTATGGATGGATCTAAGCTGTTTTATATATATATATATTACATTACTATCATTAACTCATGGGGATCTAATGTATAAAGAAATGGTACCCAGTCCTCCCCATTCCTTTTTTCTTAATATTCCATGGCTGTGTATACTAACACACAAATCATTCTGACCAACTTCTTGACCTCAAACAAAATTGAGTCATGTTTTGGGAATTTGTGATTATATACTCACTGGCCGGGAATTTAAACTTTTTTCCGGATTTATTTATTTTTCCAGAAGAAGCAGTGGACTTGGGATGAGTGTAAACTGATGATAATGCATCACCCCGTCTACAGGTAAGTGGGAATCAGCAAAAACGATGGGTGTTTATTTCCTCAAAATAATCAAATAAATTTGTAAAATAATAATAATAATAATAATAATAATAATAATAATAATAATAATAATTGACTGATGTAGATTCATCTATCCAGGTTGACAATTATAAATATAAATTAATATATGTATAAATAATAATAGTAGTAATAATAATAATGTGGCATTTTCATAGCACATCTCCATTTGTAGAACCAGGTATCTGAAAATAGGTGTGATAAACACTGGGGTTGGTTTTAGACCCACATTTTAAGCACTTTATATTGATAAGGCTGTTGGAAATTTGATAGTAAAAAATGGGGGTGTGATGATGTGCTCCATTTTGCATCACTTATTCTTATTTGTCCCATCCTCATCATTCATTTTGCTTAATCATAATTTACCTGAGGCAGACTATTTTAATTTGCATCTTATTCAAAAGCAATATGTTTTGCCAATGATTGAAAACTAATCCATTATCGTGGGTTGTCTTATTATGAGAGTATTAAGGAGAAGAGTAGCAGTTTTTTTACCCATCATTATTTAGGGGTTGATTTTTATGTGATGGATAAATTATCTCTCTGCTCTATCCATATATACAGTAAGGGGCTTGGTTTTTTTATATTATTTTTATTTATTTTTTAAAAACGATAGATATAGACAAATAAGAACTAAGACATTTTCCCAAGATACAATGCCCAGGCTATAGCAGGCTATGTGCAGGTCTTAGATAGAACTATACAGCCATACCAGATGTTGCTTCATTAGCCTCAACAGGGACTTCTCCATACTCTACAATGACTGATAAATACCAATAATGAGGATGGAACATCCAGGAAATTATGAACATTTGGGAATATCACCATGTCACCAAAGATACATTTAAAACAACAATAAAAATGCAGAAAGCTTCTTTTGCACAAATCTAAATATTAACAACAAAAAGATGTTTATAGATAATTTATTACAACAGTATAGAATTAGTTGTTGCAAATCTATGCAAATTATGCTTCAGTACACATTGGAATAATTATAGAAAAACCATTCAAAATTATATGTTTTTATATTATTTATTAATAAACTACTTACAAATAACAAAATAAAGAAAATACTGAAACTTATAAAAAAACAGTTAATGAACAAAGTAATAAAAACCTTAGGGTAATATAATTACATGTACATATAGCAATAAATAATGGTTGCCATTATTATGTAATAAGTAAATTGCATCCGTTGTTGAAATTCTGATCATCATGTAGCTGCGATGATATTAAAGCTAGATGGGAATTATTATTCATTAATTTGACAATCAATCAGGCAGATTAGAAGATTCTAATATCTGGCTGATGTATTGAGTGTCAAAGTTTACAGCTATTAAGTATACTTTTAATGGCACTACGTTTAGCTTGCCGCTGGTGTATATGCTAATTAAATATTTGAGGATGATAGTATAGAATTTGGATGTAAACTAGTTTATTAAAACTTGCTTGATAAATTAATTGTCAAGTGAAGCTTTATATGATTACATTCAATTTGTTATCTATCGGTACTGGCGTTTGAAGGTAGATTCAAATGATACTGCTAAAATGGTATTCATTGATTTTTTTTTTTAAGATCTACCATAAATTGTTACAAGACATGTTTAAAGCACACCGCTGTGTGTTTTTTTAATACAGGCTCCAGAAGAAAAACAATTTTTTATGTATGGTACAACTGATTTTTCCAAGACACAAAAAGGATATTTGGCGAGAAACTTATGAAACAGTTGATGAGACAGATATTTAAATGAACTGAGGGAAAACTTTGGGAAAAAGTGTGGTTATGCCCCTTTTTACCCCCAGTTTTTTTTAATATTCAAAAATCTGTATCTCATTAAGTGTTCATAAATTTCTCATCAAATAACCTTTTAGTATCTTAAAAAAAATCAGTTGTATGACATATCAAACATTTTTTCCCCTCTAGATTCGCTTTAATTGCTTATAAACTCCTTTAAAAATTGGATTTGTCATAAGTTGAATTCATAATATATTTTGTGCCAAGATAGTACTTTAATGAATACCGTTAAAAAGTAAACATTTTAAACAGTCTATCTGTGTAATGCTGCACTGAGTGGTGAGCACAATGTTTGGAGGTGGCTTCAGGCACTTAGCCTTTAGGTCAGGGTGTTTTAACCTCTCACTGCTATGCGCCAGTGTCTTGGGGTAAGGCACTTCATCCACATTTTGTAGTTGTTCCACTAAAACCAGTTCAGTTTCTTAATAACAGTAATTAGGGAGCTCTCAATTTGTGCGATGACGCTAGAACGGAATCACTCATGCGCGACCGTCTTGCCTGGCATCATACTTTCTCTGCATACGTAGATTTGGCCAAATTGCGTTCCAAAATCTACTTGACGAGGTGACCTTAAAATTCTCACATGCGCAGATGACTTTTACTGACGTCATTACGTTCTACGTCCTACCGTCATTGTGCAACCGAAAGCTCCCTATTTACTTTATGCTAGTCCTCACCATTAAAATTTGCCCTTTGAACTATAGCACTGATTAATGACTTCAATTTGTAACATTGCATATTTCATGATTTATGATATTGTATGGTTGTAAATATTTACCTAAATTCCACATAAAATTCCTACAGCAATACAGTATATATTAACCATTTTGTAATTCTTTTTGATTTGCAGGGTTTTCTATGTTTCCCACGATTCTCAGGAACTTCGGATATTTAGTTACATTGCTCGGGATAGTCAAACAAATGTTTTTAAATGTAATGTCTTCAAATCAACCAAGAAGGTAATGAATTGCATTTAATTACTGTTGCTTTATCAGTTACTTGTAGACATATTATGTGTTGTTGATTAAAAATGGATTTATAAATGATAAGTGTGTATTATATTACTATTTGTATAGTTCTTTGGTTTAGTTTTCCAGTTTCATTAACTTTACAGCAAAGAATGAAGATAAAAATCAAGATGTAATAATATGAAATACAATACACTTTTTATATTAAATATCATAATTTCATGGGTTTGATTTCATCAAGCTACATATATTTACCACTAAATTCATGTATTTTTTCAGAATATTTATTTATTTAGGTGCTTTTATGATGTTTATGCAATAGATAAAAATATTCCACACCACACAATTTTCCTTTTATTTTTCAAACACATTGAGGATTTTTTTTTTTGACATAAATATGAGTGCAAATCTAAATGTTCTATTACTACGATCATTCTGCGATCATGAAAATGATCATGGTTATGATTTATATGACAAAAAAATCAATCAATGATGGTATCATAATGATAATAGCAAATCTCATCTTCACAAGTAATTGTTTTACCTGCATTTTTTTTTTTCGGAAATGACCAATTTTTCACAGGCAGGAGTAGTAAGATCATTATAGTAAGAGGCTAAAAATACAATTTTATATTTATTGAAAATATTTAATATCCAGTGAGCAATGGGTTCCTGAGCATGACATGTAAAAGTAATCACAACTATCATTAATTAAAGATAGTATGATAATGATAAAGAAATTTTTCGCATCGGTGGTTGTACTAAGAGGACAAAAATAAAATATTTTTATATTTTAAATAACCACTACATTGGCATTGGTGGGTTCAGGAAACAAGGTATAAAAAAAAAGTCTTGCCTAATGATAAAGAAAATAATAATACTCCTGAGGTAGCACTGTTGCAATTTCACAATTAAAGAAAAATTTTTCAAAGTGCTTTAATATATTTACGACTCATAACTATTCTTAACTATTAATGTGGATTACAATTATACTACTGTACATTCCTGTTGGACCGCCATTAGTAGGACAAGTAAAACTCTTATAGCATTTGCATGGTTTTTTTTTTTTCTCAAGGAATCTGCAGTATGTTAAACAAGTCTACATACAATGATCTATGTTGTATGATAAATCATAGTAACTTGTATAAGCCCATATCCTTGAACATGAAATTGGGAAAGTTTTTTTGTTTTTTTTGTGGGAGTGGGGGACCCGGATGTTTATTTATTTGTACCTTCACAACATACCCTGGGCTTCAGACCGGGAGAATGCTGCTACTTGAAATTGTATGTAAAGTAGGGGTGGGCCTATACCCAATGTGGCCTTATAGGCGAGGAAAGTATTTCAGCCACAGGTATTTTATCATTGGGTACATTGATTCCATTATGAGTTTACAATTGAAATTTACTCTTAAGTGCCTTATAGACTGTTGACTTATTTGTTTCTCTTTAACAAATTACATCTAGATTGTGGTACAGTAGGCCTGCATTGTTATGTATAAATGTGATCAGTTTTATGTTATGTTTCTAATTCTGTATATAATGCATTTGATTTTGCTATATTTAGGCCTATTGTGATCATGTTGAAAATACATTATAATAGTGTGCTACCTACTTTATTCAATATTTTTCATACATTTCAGAGCCAAGCTATGCGTATTGTTCGAACTATTGGCCAAGCTTTTGAGGTTTGTCACAAACTCAGTTTACATCAGACAACATCTGCAGGTGACACACTCGATAATGAATGTATCGACAGTGATGATTCCCGAGCTCGAGGTACCGTTGTAATAATAATGTTAATAATTATTCTTGATTTATGTGTAGCGCTTTGCCTAACAGCAAGGTTTTCATAGATTTGGTTACTATACATGTCATTCATCCTTCTTCATCATTGTAAACTGTAAAAATCTTCCAGTTCCTATGGATGTTGATTGATAAATTTAAATTACTGATCATATTTATTATCTGATATTTTGAGAACTGATGCTACTATATATTTTTCTGCATCTGCTCCAGTAATCGCAGACCACAGCTGTCACAATTCACCAAATGATACTGAAAGCTATGGGTATATTATCCTACCTAGTATATCTGGCTACGTATCTTTATTAATATTTATATCATAAATTATTCAACCTATTGTTTCTGGAAAGTTTTTTTATATACAGTAATCTATAAATATAATATAAAAAGTAAAGCTATATCGTGGAAGGTGGCTTTCTGGCATTGTAGTGTAAGCAGGCCTGAGTGTAAGATCACATGATTCGAGTTAACTAATGTTTAAAGTCATTTCATCTCTCTGGAATCATTAAATATGCGATGATTCAAAATATTTCATTCTTTAACGAGGAAACCTATTAGAAACACATCATAACGAAATGCGATAATACCACCGGTGATGTGAAATGAATAGGAAATAAAACAGACAGCCAGACAACCGGACAAATTACTTGAAACAAAACTCTAAACATCTGGATAAGAAGGCACTTATGAAATTTGAAAATCTGATAACTGAACAGAAAATTGACATCTAAAAAACAGCTTGATTATATCACTTAATCAGATATAGAAAAGTATTGATATATCAATGTCAAGTATTTATTCATCTATTCACATCTTATTCTCATTTTGTTCATTAATATTTAGAATTCTCTGTTGACCATGGAGTAAATTTTTACATTTGCTCCTCTTGTTTTATGATACATTTTAGATCTGTGTAGAGTTAATAAACTTTACCAATACATGATTCAAACTAAGATATTGTCTTTCAATTTAGATAATGTATTATATTTTTGCACAGACCGTTAAATTGCCTGGTAATAACTTTAAAGATTTATTGTCTAAGTTAGAATTGGATATTAACGCTTATCCTTCTAAATGAGATTTCAAATGAACAAATGTTTCATGGGTTTTTTTTCCTATACCTTTATTATTATCAAAAAAGTAGTATGCAAAATACTTCAGTAATGGGTATATTTTGGTAAGACAGTTAAAAAAAAAAAAGATTTTTCATTTTGTGGTGAATTGCATAGTGACTAATATATGATACTGGCGGTTGGATAAAAACTAATGTTAAATCTGGCCTTGGAAATAATGTCAAGATTGATGTCACCAAACACGACGTAAAGCTGCAAAATACAGAAGACGATTCCTTATCCATTAATATTGCTAATTATGACATTCCTAGAGTCTTTTTTTTTGGATATTTCTGTGGATCTGTTGTTTTATTACTTTTCACCGGCTGACAAACTCTTGTCAGTTTGTTAGAAGACACCAGATCCCATTAACATTTGTAGTTATTTATTCAGTGGTATGTTCAGTCAGTATGTAATTATGATATTTGATCTCAATAGGGCATGGGCAAGATAGCGTAGAGACAGAATCCCCATTAGAATCAATTTCAAGACAGACAACTCTCCGGATCTCTGATTTGGATCCTAGCAAAAGACAAGATGAAAAGTCTTATCAGGTAATTCAAATTCTACTGCATCATACAAAATAATTATTGATAAAATGATAATTAATATCATTTAAATAAATAGTGCATCATGCAAATTATGTCCTCTACTCGGTTCACATTATTATCGCAGTAATTGGATTAACCACCATACGGTGCACATACATAACTCCCTAGAGAAGTGTTTCCGTAATGATTTTGCTAGGAAACAGTGCATTGGCATTTCAACACACTTATTCTCCTGGGTGGCAAAAGACATAGTAGATTAAGTTCCATAGATAGTGAGACGGACTCGAACCCCGATCTTATGATTTATAAACCTGGAACTTTACCACTGTGCCACATGGTTCCTAATATTTATGGCTTTAACCCAGCTATCCATAATATTATGGATGTCTGTGCTTATATTCATTGCATTGCTCTCTTTATACTTTATGCATCCTCTGTGACTTGCGTATTGACCATTGGTATACATGAGTCACTCACTTTTGCGATAATAAATTTGTCGCATCGATTGACAAGAACGCTCATAAACAGCACTATGTTGTCAGTGAATCTAAGGGCCGACCATTTCAGACAACTTGTAATGTCTTGAAACGATACAAGATTACTTTTACTGTAATGCATATTGTGTAGTCTTCACTCACTCAGACTTGCACATCAATCACCTGTAATTTTGAGACTTTTTAATAAAGATCTTGTGTTGTTACATTATGGACTTTTAAGTAATTAGATAGTCATACCACCATGTTAAATTATATCCAATGTTTTCATATGTAAAGGATTAATGTTTATATCTTAATGGAAGTCCTGTTGGAGGTGGTGTGGGAGTAGGTATAGTCATGGTAATTTGTGAGTAAAGTGATGCAGATGAAAATATAATTTATCAAAAATATATAGCATTGCAAAATAACTAACAATTCTTTTAATTAAATGTAAATTTCAAATTTTTGTATAATCATTTTTTATGGCCAGACTTTTGATATCATGCTTTTATTCAAGAGGATACTAAGTTCCCTGTGGAAACATAATAATGAAATTATGAAAGTGTAGGAATATTTATATTGTATCTTAAGACAATAATCAATATTAGGAGCTAACCAAATAATTTTAAAAAAAACATTGTTTTTACCAAGCAGTACTTCAGAATATTAATATATGGTTATTATGTATTTATGTACATGTATAATACATATTATTAAGCTAAAAGCATCTAACACTTGGAATATCATTTCATTAATTAATAATATCTTAAAACAGTAGTTATAATAAAAACTGATAGGTTTTTTTGTTTTTTGTTGTTTTTTATTTTTTGTTTTTTTGTTTTTTGTTTTAGTGTGAACAACCTTTAAATAACATGTTGTTCAGTCCAGAAAAACAAACATTTATTATATCATTTCTCTCTCGCAGGCAGAGATATCAGCCACCCTGGCGTCCCACAATGCCCCGTACATGATAGATTCTGATCCAGATTCTAAAGGAGGCACGCTACTGAGCTGGTACCATCAGAAACAGCTGCTACACCAGCAAGTTCAACAACAGCAGACACAAACACAGGTGGCCGTTGCACAGGTGTCGCTACTCAAAGATCAACTAAACGCAGAGTCTGCAGCAAGGATAGAAGCTCAGGTGGGTTTTATTTTACTTCTACTTTAGATTATGGTAATGCCTAGTAAAATAATGAGTAGAACTGTAAATTTGTGGTTAATTATATGTGGCAAAGACAATCCAAACCAGTCACTTGTCGCAAAAATTGATTTTTAGTTATTATTATTATTATTATAGGGTTAAAGTGTAAAATGAGAGCTATAAAATGGTAAATGAATCATTGAAATCCGACTTTTCATTATGAAGTTACAGGAGTTTGAACATAAGCTAAGAACAATATTTGAGAAATCAGCCTTCAAAGTTTATGATTTTGGGCAATTCTGAGGCTTAACCATCACAAAATCATTAAAAAATTGTTGTTTTAATATTGAAAATAAATAACAGCAAAGCATGATATTTAGATATATATAAAGTTAAGTTTAATACAACAAAATAGATTTCAAAAATGTTGACTTTCCATCATGGGTTTGGCCATTGTCTCTGAAACAGGATTTGCGATAAGTGACTGGTTTGGCTTGTCTTTGACATATATAATTTTCTTGAGTCTCAGGTCCTGGGTTCAAATATCTGTGAGACACCTGTATGGTATAACAATATGAATTTAGTTCCTGAACAATACTTACCTGTCAAGAAAATGTCAAGTTTCTTTTAGTGAAACTTACTTCGAAAAATGAATGGAGTTGTCCATCTGAATTTGCATTACATAATCATCCTCACTTTCCTTTCGATGTTGATCATGAAGACTTTACTGTAGTGTAGTGTTGTTGAATGGCCTATTGTGCAAGTCGCATGTCTTTGTCTATACACAAGGAATCGTATATTTTGTATATTATTTTTTTTATATCTTTGTGGAAGACGATTTATACTGCCTGCCAGGGCGGATGATTCCAATTATTTTTTTAGATTATTCCACTGAATAGAATTTTGGCATGTATCAGCTCATCTCGCTAAGTGTTACACTCATTGACTACCAACTCATCTGTGTCAATTCACTCATATTTGTGTCAATTTTGTCTTTAACAGGCAAGACTTCATCAAGTGATGCTTCAGAACAGGGATCTCCTCCAACATCAGCAAGAACTTGTCAGTCACATCCAAGAGCTCGAGGCTCAAGTGTATGGGACGTCAACGCACACTTCAGGCAATCCATTTCTTACAGATATACCCATGCTGACAGATCCCACTACACCTCATCCTCCAGGTGCTGGACCAGATCTTAGTAACACAGGAGTACAGTCCTCCCAAATGCTGCAAGAGAGGCCAAAAGAGCTGTTTGAAAACACGCTTGTTAGTACCCATACTGGTGGAAGTATGCAGTACAGACAGCCAAACATGGAAAGCTTAAGAAGCAGCAGTGGAAGTGATAGTAACAATGAATATCCAGTGTATCATGGCGATTCCCGTCAGAATGAACCAATCTCGGACAGTCTTAAAATGCTAAATATATCTGTTGAACAGTTAGACTCTAGAAAAAATAGCAGACATAGGACATATGGACTCCCCCAGAGTGGATCAACATCCTCAGGGGTCAGCATGTCCCCAGGGTCTACACCCACTGGCACAGTGAAATCAGTGAACTCTAGTATTCACGAGCCTAACACAAATAATTACGAGAAACAAGATCTTGATGAAAAAGTCAAGCAGTCGCAGAAATCTTCTCGTCAAGTTTTCAACGGTTATGGTTCTATAAACACAACAGTAGATGCAACGCTCATCACTACAATTCTACCAGAGTCCCCAAGCAAGAGCGATTCCTTGACCTCTGGTACTACAACAGAAACTGAAATGAATTCACGCAACAACGACCCGATATCACCTGCATTTACGTTTGACTCAAGCGACTTCAATATCAAAATGGCAAGTGCTGAATCTAGTCTGAGCGCGAGTCCACAAAAGAAATTAGATTTGTCTGACACCCTCCACATCAGCTTTTCCGACGATGAGAACACTGAGAACTCAGAGGACTCTGGCGTGCCTCAACTTCCCTCATCAGCTATTATGAATTTCGAGTTTGAGACTGTGCACAGCTGAACATGTGTTTCACATCTATTTTCTATTTAGATTAAGTCTGCACTCAGTTGAAAATTTTTTTCATGCAAGGTAATGTTTCTATATAAATATAAGCTATTAGGATAGGATCATGGTAAAGATTACCATATGTTTAAGTGGCTAATCCTGCCTTAAATGCACTATAATTCAAATACTGTAGTTTCTCTGGTATAAGCCCACTTCATTGATGACCATTTAAAAGGCAATTTTTCAACTCTGTATGCATATTTCAAAGCCAGTCCTTGATTTTTTTTCATTTTGCAAAAGTCAGCTGAGCTACTTATTAAAATCATACCCTGGACATTTGCCCGGGAAAAACATGGTGTGTAAAATTTGGCTTATACCCAAGAACCTATTGAAGAATCACATTCTTTCGTATGTGAATATCTTTTAAAATTCTGTTTAATCTTACAATTATATTTTCACAACTAATTCCTTGTTTGATACTGTAGTGATTAGTAAAGAGTTTAAAGAGCCCTTGGACATTCCAACTGAGGTTGCAAGAGTGCTTCAAGTTTGCTGTATATTTATATTCATAATATAATTATATATAAATATATATATACAACTGTTGATAGTGATTATTATTCATATTTAATGAAGTAAAGCAGATATGTATTAATATTATTGTTGTAATCCCTTCTAGTTAGGATCATTAAGAATCTAGATTTACAACTCAAACATGATGCATTCCACGTGGAAGAAACACTGTCAATTCATCTGTGATACGGTACAAATGGGTAAAATGTGGGTAGTATATCAATCGAGATAAATAATTTGGGAACATAAATATGTGATATATAAAAAATAATATCCACATAAAAAGAGAACAGTTGATAAATAATGACAAATTGGCGTTGGTTGAGTGGGGGAGGGAACAGTGGGATGAGATCATGAATTGTAAATACTTACTAAATTATATTTCCATGTAAAACCAATAACACAAATTGTCCATTTGAACATTAAATGGTGGTTGTCCAGAAATGTATAAATTGAAACGATTTATGTAACTAAACAATAAGTACAAATAAATAATGATTGTGGCTTATAAAGGCCATGACTTATTATATTGTATATGCAGGACATATGACTGAACTCCTGATTAGTTGGACAGAAACACATAGATGTATCTATTTTTGTAAAACAATTACTAGGATTATTGGATTGTAAAAAATTGCCAGTGTTATGGAAAGAGAATAGGAGAGGATTGTAAAATGTAGTTTTCAATGAGATTATTGATAACATTGTTGAAAGTTTGTTTAGTTGTGGATGTAATGATTATTAATGGCTGTTCTCCATCTACTGATTGTATTATATAAACGCTAATTGTAGGATATTCTTTGTTGCACTAATATGTGTCGTAAACGGTCAACAAATTATGCTTCTTAATCGGAGTTAAACTTAATCATTGTTTATTCTGGAGATAAGAGATGGTGAAATTAATGATATTGTAGTCGTTTATTTTGTTTGTACAAAGAAAGTATTTAAAATGAGTCACATAAAATGTGCAACATTAAAGATTATACTGCCACATAAATTTAATAAACATGAAAATTAACAACAATTTAAATGCTTGTTTGCTTATATTTCAGTTAGAATTTAAGTGAAATCATATCATTTTTCTAAGTCATTAAAAACTCACCTTTTTTCTATCTGTAGTGACAGTAGGTGAATTTGTAAAATGAGCAATTCAAATGTTTATTTGAATTTTTGAGAATGTTTCCTTGATGTGTTTTTGGCTTGTGGCAGTATATCCTATATCTAGCCTATGAACTTATGTACTTTTACTGTAATTCTTATTTCTTATACAGAGGGCAACATTATACTTCGCTGATATTCTGGTTAACTAGTTGATTTCTGTTCTCAATTTATAGGCCAACATAAATTCTGTTTTGAAGATAATCAGTTCGTAAACAGCATTCACAACTAGTGTAATAATAGTATATTTTAAGAAATAAAATATGTGATTTTAATAAGTAAAATTAAATATAAACCATTGTTTTTATTTATACAAACAGTCCATGTTATACCTGCTATGTACAAGTGTCTAGTCAAGGTTGGATATGGACCTAAAATCATTAAGCGCACATGTATCAATTCAATATTCAACTTTTTTTTCTCTGCCTTTTGTTTTTAGTTAAACCTTATATTGTTGAACACTATATTACAAATAAATATTCATAATTTAATGCCCTGTAATCACAGGCACAATTTAATGTTCTACTAAATCTACAACGGTTAATGTAGTAAGTGCTATTTGGAAATCTTCCATCTGCATATCAGTGCTTAGGTGCTCCTTGTAACTGAATGCATCAGTGACTTGTATATGAGACTTAAGAATGGTATTTGACCTACAGTAGGAACATATCAGTTTTTAGTTAATCATTTATATGTTGAAAATTATAGTAATTACCTTGTAATTATGAATTGACTGCCTACTGTGAATGTTTTCATTTCAATTATTATGTGTTACGTTACCTATAATGTACTCTGTTGAAACTCAATTAACACAAAAAACAGTAACAATTAAAATTGAAAAAAGTATTGAAAGTTTTTGTTCTCTGTTTATTGTGTACAATAATTTGAAGCAATATATAAATGCTCTAGATTATCTTTACAATGCACCCTGAATTTTGCCACCACTAGTTTTTTTTTTTTTTGGTTTTTTTTTTTATTTATTTAATTATCATTTTAATCCTGACATGGATACTTGCAAGTTTGACGAATTCCAGGTTGCCTAGTCCACTTTGTCTAAAATCTCTTTCCAGTTTTCTGACTCAGCAATTCCATATAGATTAAAATCCAGCCCCCATCATATTTACTATGTAAATGGCATAAAATGCAGGGGTGGTGCCAGTATATATGCCCGACGGTAGGGGGAGGGGAGAGATGACCCCGACGAAAAAAAGTGGGCGTGGTCGGGCATCGCTCAAAATCTTTCGAAAGTGTTCCAGGGGTCGAACAATTTGACAATTTAATGGATTCAACGGCTTATTTAATCAATTTTAGAGCCTAATAATATGTACAAAATACATATACAGTTTTTTTTCTCTCCAATGAATTGTGGGTTTTCTCCCCGGGCCATAGTTTTGGAGGCTATACAGGGAAGAGAAAGCGAATAATTATTGAATTTTCTGAGGTGTGTCCAGGAACAAAATGTGAGTAAACTGATAAGTTTAGAGAGAAGCGCTTTGAAAATAAGAATCAGAATATTGAACCTAATACTTGAATCAATAGGATCTTAGTTTGTTATTTGTGGTACCAACATGTAAAATAATATTTTCCCTATCATTTGGTATGAAGAACAATGTAATTACATGGTTAATTATGTTAGGGAGGTAAAAAAGTATGAACCAAAGATGAAATTCAAATTCTCCCATTATGTATG